AAATCAAGATACATTGTTAAATAAACGGAATGAATTCTGGCGAAAATATATGCATCTAAACAAACATCGGTTTGGTTAAAAAAAAGCAAACATAGGTTTTGATAAAAAAACAAACAAACAGATTAAAAGTTATATAATAAATTATAATAATTTTATTTTATTTTTATCCAGTTAAATAAACTGCAATTATTCATACATCAAACCCGCGATAATTTCACATATTACGATAACAAAAATCCTTCTCAAACATTTAGTAAAGTCAGATCTAATATCATGTTCTATATGGCATATTCCTTCAGAACGTGGGCAATCATGGCTCTTCACGATTTCCATTTCTATAAGAAGTAATTCGCTACTCATATAACTCAACTCAAAGTCGTATAGATCTTTAACTTCAGAATAAATTCCAATAAACTAACGTCTTTTAAGAAAAACAAATTCAAATAATTCTACGCCCCTCCCACATATCGTAAGTGTATAAGAAAAATATTGTATATGAAAATAAATCAAAACTACTTTTTGTCTGCTGATCAGTTGCGAAACTCCGAAGAGAAATAAGCAAACAACACACACACACACACACACACATATATATATATATATATATATATATATATATATATATATATATAATATAAAAAAACAATAAGATATATAATCCGGTGTTCTTATAGATATTTTTATTTTTACAAAATAGTGCTCAATGTAAATTTACAGAGCATTAATATTATAAATTAACTGACTTAAAATATGGTTTTTCACTACACGGTTCTAACCATGTTTCATATATATATATATATATATATATATATATATATATATATATATATATAAGAGAGGTAGAGAGAGTGAGACATAAGTTCCACCTAAATGAATCTACTAATAGAAAGAGATCCTGGTTTTCTCTCTCGAGAGAGAGACAAGTATACTCATGAGTGGGCTATAGGTATTCATAGCTGGAATAAGAATGATCTTGAACAAAAAAAAAAAAAATCAACATCTTCAACCAAGTGTTCCAAGAAATAGGACTCAAGATAAACCTTTCCAAAACAGAAACTGTAATCTGAAACTGGTATTGGATCTGGAATTTGTCCAAAACGGCAAATTGCTGCAAAATGATAAAAAAAAAAAAAAAACATTAACCAAAAAACTCGAATCATGTTCTTAAATAGCCTCGCCAGATCGAGACTTCCAAATTCGTTCAGAAATAGCTAAACTGTCAGCTGTGAGTAACCGCTTTCTCGGATCAGTGATTAAAAATGGCTTCGAGCGGACGAACACTTTAGGACTTGGCGAAAACTATTCTTCTTCGAACCTCATAGACTAACGCTACATAATCGAAAACAAAGAACTGTACCAAATAGTAAAAAGCCACATCATTTGAGGACTATCACCAAAAAAAAAAAAAAAAAAAAACTAAAATGGATATCATATGGAACTTCAAGAGAAAATAATGATATAACCTAGATACTGACATTACACACTACTTCAAACAAAAAGGTTAGGAAGGAAGCTGTCATCAGTACCGGAAAGAGCGATAAAAAAAATACTGAACTTAAAAAATCTATTTCCCTGAAAAAAAAATTTAATAGAGAGATTTTATAAAATTCAACGGGAAGTAGCATTGGCTGCACAGTCCGTGAATACTGAATTTTTCCTGATAAGGAAACGGTTACTATTACCATTTGTTTGAGATTATAACATGGCGTCTACATGTAGGAAGATTTGGACAAATTTTGTGATATTATTTTAAACTTGCCCATAAAGCAGTATTCAGAATTTGGGCATCGCAAAGGAATTAAACAATATCAGACTACTGTACTGCCCCAAAGCGATTCAAGCGTTTTACCTATTTATCTATTTTCATATCTATTTATCTGTCTTCATATCTACGTTCATATATACCTATCTTTATATTTATCAAGCTTCATATCTATCAATCAGTCTTCATATCTATGTTCATATATACCTATCTTTATATTTATCAAGCTTCATATCTATCAATCTATATCTATATCTATGTTCATATATACCTATCTTTATATTTATCAAGCTTCATATCTATCAATCAATCTTCATATCTATGTTCATATATACCTATCTTTATATTTATCAACTTTCATATCTATCAATCAATCTTCATATCTATGTTCATATATACCTATCTTTATATTTATCAACCTTCATATCTATCAATCAATCTTCATATCTATGTTCATATATACCTATCTTTATATTTATCAACCTTCATATCTATCAATCTATATCTATATCTATGTTCATATATACCTATCTTTATACCTATCTATCTTCATATCTCCCTCTCTATATATCTTCATATCTATTAATCTATCTATCAGTCTATCTTCATATCTATCAAGGTATCTCCGCGTGGTCATGTCTATTTATCTTATCATGTTTTTCCTGTAGCGTGGTCGCCGTCCGTTATTAAAGTCTGATAGGCTCAATGGCTTACAATACAACTTTTATTTTCATTCATCGGATGACCTCGGTCAAAGAGTATCTCAGCCTCCGGACGATGGTCAGATTCTGATTAAATTGGGATGTAGTGGAACGGTCAAGCAGCTGAAAAACGTATTAGAAATAAATCGTTTCACCCTGCTCAAAGTTTTGACCGATGGAGCAATCAGCCAACCAAAAATAAAAGGGACATCATAGTCAACGGAAGAAACTACTGGATTTGAAAACAGGTTTTATCGTACATGTATTCTAGAAAGTAAGTGTGTGTATGGAAATCTATGGTAGCAAAACGGGTTAGTTTTATTACTTTTCTTGAGTGTTACCTGGCATTGCCCGGTTTTACTGGATCATTTCTTTTACAATGATGTTCATCCTGTACAAGGCCTAAGAAACACCCGAGGTAGAGAATTAAAGAGTAAGAGGCACAGTTTATAGGCATATGTAGGGGAAGATAACAGTCGACCCTTGACATGAACAGTGTAGTCATCGGGGAAGCATCCTCTTAGGAGGCAGTTTCACAAACCAGCAGTTCGTCTGAAGACTGTACTCGAGTTGAACTTTCACGAATGGAATACGAAGGGAATGAAGGTGGTTCACAACAATATGCATGATATTGCGGATCTTAGCCGTGAAGATAAGAACCGTTGGAATGAAAGAATATAGCTCATCTGAGGACTTTCCATGGAAATAGCCAAAGAGCAGTGAGAGGCTTGCGACGTTTTCTCTGTGAGAAAGGAATTGTAGAGTGGAAAATAATTCGTCATCTACAAAGACGCAGAGACGCTTTGGGACCTTATCGAGACTGTAAAGTGAAGACTGTGCAGCTCCTGTTAATATATGACAGCAGTACTCCATTTTAGGCCTGGTCTCGCTCTTGGAAATGTAGAGAATAACAGGCGGAGGATTCAGTTACTCACTGAAGCGTTAAGGGGAACCGATCATTTTTCCAGCATCTTTAGCGATGGATTGCATGTATACGTTCCACCTGAAATCTGGGTTGAGTTTATGTCCCGACAGGCGCTTAAAGCACGAGGCCTCCGTTAGGGAACATCCATTTATCGCAATCGGTGAAAGTTCTGTGTCCGCTATTCACTAGTCTGGTTTTCGAGGCACTGAATGTAACCAGCCAGTTTTCCTTCAAATGAGCTGTTAGAGCTAGGTCAGATGAGAGATCAGCTGTCAAGCTCTGGTCATTTAGAATCTTGGATTTACACTCATATATTGTTGTATCATCAGCATAGATATTAACAAATGATCGGAGTATATTCTTAGGCACATCTCTTATGTAAAGTAGAAAGTGTTGGATCGAGAATTTGACCTTGGGGAACGTCTGCGTTGAACGCTTGGGCCTCGACTGACTTAACAACTACCTTCAGGGACCTCTCTATTAGGAAGAATTTGACAATCAGCTGCACGGGATGGCGTACACGCAGTCATGTTCTTCTTTGGTATGTGTGTGTGGGGGGTTACTCGGGAAAGATATCTGCGAAGTGTCGTCCAGCTTTTGAATGTTGTCCTGATATTATATAGACTGCAGATCCTTTGTATTTTCTCTGATAACCCCTTTACATAAGGCAGGTAGACTGTTTTCTGGGTGTTGTTGTCCTCGTTTTGTACCCTTGTACTTTTGTATGAAATATAAAGGGAAGACAGGCCGCCTCCTTAAGGTAAGTTTTCAAGAACATCAGAAAGCTGTAACACGAGGGGAAGTGGAAAAATCAGGCGTGGCTGACCATATATGGAGAGAAAAGGGAGATCAACGCTCTCTGTGGGATCATGTTGAAATCATAGACAAAGAATATCATTGGAATCAGCACATATGCTAAGCCAAAAAAAAAAAAAAAAAAAAATATATCCTGAGCTGACTAAGCATAAAAATGAATACAATATGGGAACCAGTAATAAGGTGTGCCAGAGAAAAGCGATACCAACGAAAATTGCAATATGAGCTCTGGTAAAAAAACATGCAATGATAACAGCAAAAATTGCAATATGAGCACTGGTAAAAAAATTGTTGCTGAAGACATTAGGTTTATAATACCCAGAAATTCACTCAAGAACACATTGCACAGTGGATAAAGACGGTAGTTGTGTAAATAGTATATATATTATTTACATTATTTAGATAGTATCATTCATATTTATAACGTTTAAGACTGGTGTGTATTAACTAATATGAGATATCTCTTAAGCATGGAAAATAAAATGTAAAGAATCTATCACCACGCCTTGGACTGAGTAAATGATTCGGTTCGAAGATCCAAGAAAGATGTAACTACTGTAACAAACAAGGTGAGAATGCTGGTCTGAATAGCAAGGCATATAATAATGATAATTCCTCATCTCAAATATTCCAATAGAAATAATGAAAGAAGGCTGGAGAGTACAACAGCCAAAATGGTGTGAGTATAACAACCAAGATGAGAATGCTGGTCTGAATAGCAAAGCATATAATAAAGATAATTCCTCATTGTAAAAGTTATGACAAATAGTTATATTCCTTCGATTATCGTTGGTTATCAGATCGTGGGCAAAGATGACGATGGACATATAAAAAGTGAAAGAGGTGAACGGAAGAAAATGAAAGATGGAAAGTAGGCTTCAGACTGGACGAAAACAATGAGATGAGAATAAAAATGAAAGGAAGATAAAAGAGAAGAAGAATGAATAGCGGCCGAAGAGAAATGGGAAACATAAAAAGAGTAACAAAAATTGCGAAAAGGAATAGGGAAATAAATAATTTTGGTTACAAGAAATGAGAGAAAGGAAGAAGAAGGCAACAAGCGAAGAGAAGGGAGAAGGAGACTGGTGAAGAGAAGGAAAGAAGGGACAAGCGAAGAGAAGGAAAGAGGGGACAAACGAAGAGAAGGAAAGAAGGGACAAGCGAAGAGAAGGAAAGAAGGGACAAGCGAAGAGAAGGAAAGAGGGGACAAACGAAGAGAAGGAAAGAAGGGACAAGCGAAGAGAAGGAAAGAGGGGACAAGCGAAGAGAAGGAAAGAAGGGACAAGCGAAGAGAAGGAAAGAGGGGACAAGCGAAGAGAAGGAAAGAGGGGACAAGGAAGAGAAGGAAAGAAGGGACAAGCGAAGAGAAGGAAAAGAGGGGACAAGCGAAGAGAAGGAAAGAAGGGACAAGCGAAGAGAAGGAAAGAAGGGACAAGCGAAGAGAAGGAAAGAGGGGACAAACGAAGAGAAGGAAAAGAAGGGACAAGCGAAGAGAAGGAAAGAAGGGACAAGCGAAGAGAAAGGAAAGAGGGACAAACGAAGAGAAGGAAAAAGAAGGGACAAGCGAAGAGAAGGAAAGAAGGGACAAGCGAAGAGGAGAAAAGAGGGGACAAGCGAAGAGAAGGAAAGAAGGGACAAGCGAAGAGAAGGAAAGAGGGGACAAGCGAAGAGAAGGAAAGAAGGGACAAGCGAAGAGAAGGAAAGAGGGGACATGTGAAAGGGGGGGGGGAGAAGAGAAATGTGAAAAGAAGAAAGATGCAACTAAGAAAAGCAACAGGAGATAACAACGCAAAATGATGCGGAGGAGGAGGTGACCAAAGTAATAAACGACAAGGAAGAGGACGTGACAGTAGAAAAATATATGAAGAAACAAAAAAGGAAAACAAATCGATGGAGAAACGAAGATTGCTAGATAAATAAAATAATGAGGGAGTAAGTGTAGAGGGGAGAAAGAAGAATATGCAAAAGAATGTGAGGAGGAGGAAGAGGGAGTAAAAAGAGAATTAGATTAAAAAAAAAAAAAATGGAAGAAGAGATAATCATCATATCCGGAACCAATTTATTCGACACACTAACATTTCGATGGAGATCGAAACTTTTGGATTATCTAATGATAGAAGTACGTTTTACTATATGAATACTTAAGAATTAGAACCTAATCTGTATTCATCAAAAATGTATTGATTTCATGCCTTCATTTTATTTCGCCTCAAGTACAAGTCCCAGTTACTTTATGCGTCTCTTTTATTTTCTACGATGAATCCACCTACGAAGCTTCACACACATTCACATGAAAGAAATAAGCATTTAACTCGTTTTCATAATTATTTCCTATTCCTTTACAAGTCCGAATAATGCGAGTAAAAGGCTGAGGAGAGCGTGACAGAAGTTAGTAGAGGTGAAGTAGTGAATGAATTAATAGGAGTCAAGATGGAAACTAAACAGAAGAGAGAGAGGGAATGTGAGTGATAAAGACAAAAAAAGAGAAGTTAGACATATAAAGAGGGAGACATGTACACACGCACACCAAAAAAATAAATAAATAAATAAATAAAAGAGGTTTAGAGTGAGAAAAGAATCAGAAAGAAAATCTGAGTGTGCGTGTCCAAAGATGGGATAAAAAAAAGAAACAGGTAAACAAAGAAGCAAAAACTGGTGAATGATGAAAAAAAGGGCAAAGGAAGATTATGAAGACGAAAAAGTAGAAAAGGAGGAGGAAAGGAAAAGACAAAGATGAAAAAACATTAAAAAAAAAATAGAATATTAAGAAAAAGTAAACGACAACGCAAAAAATAAGAATACAACGGAAAAGATGACAACAACGAAAAAAGAAAAAGACGACGAAGGGCAAAAAAGACGGTGAAAAATAAAAATACGAATAAAGAATGTCGACGACAACAAAAGAAAGAAAGAATACTAGGGAGAAACATGAAGTTATGAACAATGGATTTGTTTAACGGCATATGAAATCATTACGGGTCATTTAATGCCGAAATTTAATTTTCTTGAGAGATTTGAAGTAATAAAAATGACATGTTATTCTGCTTTCGCAATTCAATACATGGTAGATGATACTTAGCTTTTCTGCATCTACAAGTTCGTGTGAAAAATTGCTAATATGTGTGTTTTATTTATTTTGTTTTTGTAAGTTATTTTGTAATACATTTTTTTTAAATTGTAGGCTATTATATGTCACAAAGTTCATGTCGGTAGTTTGGTTGATTTTGTTTAGCGGCATATCAACCACTATAAGTTATTCAACGCCTAAATATTTTGAACGCAATTGTATGCCTTCAACTACAGATAAATTGTACTAATGGTCATGTATTGTTGGTCATTTTTACATAAAAATGTCTTGCTGGTATTTTTACTATTAAAATGTATTTTTATACTTTCATAGTGTTTTGGTTGGAGAGCTCACTATTTAACTATAGCTGGGGTGCTACTACGCCGGAGATAATAATGATTTACTGATACAAGTCCTACGGATTAACCCATTCCTGGGAGGAGAAGAGGGGGTTTCATACTTTTCCCAAAAGTAAATGAATATAAAGAAGCCGATTGGAATTGGAACTCGAGATCCGAATTCCGATTCAGAGCTGTTTTCCATTACACCACCCATACATCCAAGCTTACAGCGCCTCGTATTCTCAAGCCGTCACTCATCTAGATACTGAACAGACTCAACGTTGCTTAACTTCGGTGATCGTACGAGAACCGCTGTTTCAACGTTATATGGCCGTAAAATAAAAAAAAAGAAAGAAAAAAAACGCGACAAAATGAAAACAAGAAAATAAAAAGTCGATCTTGATCAAATTCTTTTCTTTGCATCTTTTCAACCATAGAGCAGATAATTGCAATTTCAGACAAAAAAAAATGATTCAACACTTTTTTTTATTGGCTATACAAGGCAAAGTAAACAGCCTTATTCGACCACCATTTTTTTTATTTTTGGCCCTTGCATTTTATATCATCACAACGGAGATGACGAACAGGAAGAAATTTATTTTTTGTGCGCGCCCTAATTTCAAACATTTTTGAACAATCTACTCCTTTTCTCCCATCTTTTTCCCGCTTTTTCCTTTGTGTGTTTGGGATGGATTTTCTTTTTCATTGAATACCTTCTCTCCTTATCCACACGCTTCTTTCGTCGCTTCTCTTTTTGAGCAAAATTATTAATCAGGTTTGATTCAGAAATATTAAAGAAAAAGCAGCTGTAGAGAGTCATTGTTACGTAAGTCCTGGCATGTCAGGAAATCAAAAGTAATTATATATATATATATATATATATATATATATATATATATATTCATTCAAGCATGTTTGGTTAAATAATTTAGATGTATTATGTCTATTTATTTTAGTTTTAATTCTTTCAAATCAGAATTAATTTCTTGGTAGCTGTAGGAAATTGATTAAGAAAAATTCCAAACTTTTCCTTCAAATAATTTTTATTTTCTCACAGTACTTTCAATCTCATCTGCGACATCTTCAGAAGGTTAAAATATCTGTGAATCAATCTACAGAAGTATCGTAAATTAAAAATATTTTTTTTTTACAACGTTCCAAATTCGAAGTTGGGGGGAGTTAATTTTTGTAATTTTTTATTTAAATATACAAAAAATGAAAAATGTTATTAGTTTTTAGTTATAACATTTTAATTTAATATTTTATATAAAACTTTGCTATACTCATATTTGACTTTACTAATCTTTGGCCGCAGTTTTTTTATACAAAGAGCTTATAGAATTTAAGTTTTTGCTTATTATTATTATTTTGATGAAGTATTAATAATACATCTAAATTATTTAACCAAACATACCTGAATGAAAATATGGTGCCTATATATATATATATATATATATATATATATATATATATATATATATATATATATATATATATATTAAAAAGAAGAGAAGAGAGGTGCCGCAAACGTTTTTGGTTGTAATGTGGATTTATTTAGAAAAAATATTATGCTTTGTTTTACATAATTTTACGACACGTGTTTCTGGTCTCGCGACCGTCTTCAGGTAAAAGTGGAGATTTCTACATATTATTAAAAATAATTAATTTTTCTTCATGTTCAATGTGAAATATTCTCGATATGAGACATTCTCTGTTTGTGTGTTGGTAATCCGAATTTCTTTCTAGACAAATATATATATATATATATATATATATATATATATATATATATATATATATATATATATATAAAAAGTGAAATCAGAAATTTTCAGAAATTGAAATCAATGTACCGAGTTCAATTTCCGTTTCCTTCATTTGAAGGCGGCTGTTGTGGGTGAAGTAGTAGGACGAACGAGGCTATATTGTCTGGAATGGCAACCAGTCTGGGAGAAGGAAATTCTAAATTCAAACCCAGCCTGATATGACCGTAGTACATGTGACGCCTTTATAACTTTCATAGATTACGGAACACATGACTTAGTGATGTATATTGAAGGAACCACTACGTACACACATAATTAGGTGCGTATTTGGGCAGCAGTCCCTCTCTAATACATGTTTAATTAAGTGTTTTATTGTATTTGTATGTACACTATTGTAAATGGTTGGTATGTTGCTAAAAGATAGACACATTTTTAATTCCCGAATACGAAAAGTACACCGTGGCCGTGTTCGTATTTACAATACCAAAAGCCTAAAAAGTGATTAGTCGAAAGTGCTCGGAACGAACAATCATTTAGACAATTTCTACACACACTAAGTCCCCCCACCCAACCCAAAAAAAGAAATCTCTTTTTCGCATATTAGAAAAATACAGATGTATCATGTCAATCATTTTAATTATACAATATTTGATCAAAAAGTATCGGGACTGACGCTATAGAAAGAAAACCACAACACATCAATTCCGCATTTAATTTCCTCCAAAGTAGCGTTCTTCTGAAGCCACACACTTTATTCAGCATGGTTTCTAGTGATGAAAGCATTCCTAGAACTCCTTTTTTGGGTAGCGAGCAACTGCCTCGGGGCATTCTCTTGGATTTCTTCGACGTCTTGAAATTTTGTTCCTTTCAAGTGAGATTTGCTTTTTGTAAGGAGGAAAAAAAGTCGCAAAGAACGAGATCTGGGGAATATGGTGGTTGTTAACCTAGGGAATGTTTTTCCTTGGCCAAAAACCTGCTGCACAAGCCATTTTCATTGACGAAACCACGGTGGTGTGGTGAGAAGACCACACTCTACACATCTTCCTTCCAAGCACTGCTATAAACAAAGGAAAAGATCGAGAACGTTATAACATAGTGTGTATGCGCGACAAAGCCATAGGATAATCTATGCCAAGCGCTTCATCCTTTAACGTATTTTAGATCCGCCACTTTAGCAAAAGTCCCGATACTTTTTTTTATCAAACCTTGTATATAATTAAAACGATTGACATTATACTAAAAATATGATACTATAAACTATGCCAATTCCTTTCATTACATATGTGATCATGGCTCTCCATAGATGGTATTTATCAATCCACCCACGGGGATCGAATGTGGCACAAGGCCTTTTTAATGTGGGTATCTCTGAGCCCGTAGGCCCAGCCAAAAATAAATAAACATCCAAACCCGCCGAGGCGGTCCAGTTCCGTCAACCTCCCCCAACGAAACCCTACCCTTCGGCAGAGCTTCGTCCGGATTCCTCTCTGCAAGCAGAGAGTTCGACAGACACCCGACCCGGCAACTCACAAAGCGCAGATACTACACTTTGATCCTAGCCACCGGGCCGAGCGGGTATTCTTTTTTTTTTCTCTCCATAGATTCCTTTTCTTTATTATTTCTGAATTACTATGATTTATTACCTCGAGGCTGTGTAATGGTTAGCAAGCTTGTCTCGCTAGAACAAATACGACTGAGTAGTGAGTTCGATTCTCACTGGGTGCTCCATACTTTCGGCCATGTGCCACATCTAAGCTACGCTTGGAAGAAAATCACCACCCTGATTTATTGGGAAAGATAGTGGAATTGTTTCCTGTTACTTTCTCGGTTTTGATTTCAGAGTTGTCCTAAATTGGTTAACATTCAAAGCTAGAGAACCCAGTCTACTTTTCTATTTAACTTATAGCTGGTGCGAGAAGAGATGCATCCATAGCTTTCCAAATCGTCGATTCCTGTAAACGTTATTCTACTTACATATCTGTTGACGTAGAAGAAAGAGGATTTTATAAAATATTAAACTTGATAGATTAGCAATTCTTTTTTCTCGTTCACTTGTTTATATCAAGGGTATGGAGTCTCTGCTACAATTTAATTTTTTTTATCTAATTTTATTATAAGCTTAGTTTAATATTCAAAAAGTGGTAAACACCAATAAGTAAATAAAGAGGATATTTTTTTATATTTGATAAATAAAATATAATTGCAAGATTAAGGCTTATAAAACACATTTTGTTTTAGAAAGACAAAATAGCTAAAAAATTGATCTGCATCCTATCTGCGAAATTGACGCCTCCCTTAGGTTATTTTTATTCCTAACACTCACTTCTACTCAGCTCGACTCCATCATAATAATATTATGATGTCTGAGAGAGAAATAGGAGCACGCCAACATAGTGATGTTCAGACACTTCTTGAAAAAAAATTTCTATATTTTTGACGGTGGGACCAGTCTGTTTAAGTAGTCCTCTGTTTCTTTATTTTTTCTTCTTTTTTTGTTAGTCATTTTTAATGAAACAGACAATAAACTACATCCAGAAGCAAGGCCTCTAATCGGGAGATTGGAGGATTTGCGGAGCGTAGAAGCCCCTCTTATTTGCTGATGTTCCAAATTCCATCCTGTGCCGGGGTGATAGCACCTGTTAGGGTCCCAAGTATGGGAAAATATCGACCCCCCCCACAAAAACACTATGAAAGTATAAAAATACATTTTTATAGTAAAATACCAGCAATACATTTTTATAGTAAAAATAACAAACAATGCATATTTGTAGTAAAATGACCAGCAATATATTTATAGTAATATAAGAAACAACACAATTTTAAAGAAAAATGACCCACAATACATTTTATAGCCGAATTAACAACAACACATTTCATAGTAAAATGATGAACAATACATTTTATCCCTAGTTGAAGGCACACAATTGCGTTAAAAATATATTTATTTGAAGCCATAAAATGTGTTCAAAATATATAGATTATGGCATAGTGGGTGATATACCACAAAACAAAATCAACTAAACCAACCAAAATTAATGAAACATGTATTTAAGCGGGGATACTGCTCAGATACAGAACTATCTATCTATCTGTCTATATATATATACACACACACACACACACATATATATATATATATATGTTTGTGCGTGTGTGTTTGTGTGAGTCATAAATAATTGACCAATTGACATATTTAGAGATATATAAAAGAATGATTTGTGTTTGTGCCTGTGTGATATTCACGTGATAAGAGGCAGACATCAGGGAATTTTAGAATGCATTGCAAATGACAAGAGATAGGTCTTCCAGGCACGAAGATAAAACAGCGATATATAGAAATGTTGCCACTTCACGTCTGTTGAGGACTCACCGGAACAGGCAAAACCCAAGCTGGCTGTCCAGTGAAAAACGAAAATGTAAGGAAAAAACGAAAAAGATTAAAAACGGGCGGGAAGAAATAAAGAAAAATCAATAAATAAGGCACAGAAAGAGAAGCAGAGATAAAGTTAGAAAGAAGCAGTATGAAGGAAAGGTTTAGACGAAGAGGAGTTGAGGTATTAGAAAGACGTGAAAGTTTAGAAATTGAAAAACAGAGAGAACGTGAGAAGTAAGGCGGAGAAATAATAGAAGGAATAGCTGCCGGAATGTGTTGAAGTTTTGAGAAAAAAGCATAAAGAGAGGAAAAGAAACAGAAGGAGGGATAAAGATTTATGAAATCAAAGAAAGAAAGATGAGTAAAATAAAAGGGAAAAGATGACGATTTGTCAAAATAAAGAAGAAATAAAATTCATTAATAGAAAGGAAGTTGATTTGTAAAAAAAAATGAGGAAAACGTTTATGAAATCAAAATAGGAATATTTGTAAAAATAAAGAAACACAAGTTATAAAATTAAGGAAAGAAGATGATTAGTAAAAATGAATGAAAGTGAAGAAAGTGTGTAAACATAAAGAAAGACGTTTTTTAAAAAATATCGAAAAAAAGAAGTATGTCTATAAAAATAAAGAAAAAAAGGAACAAAGTTTGTAAAAAAAAGAAGAAAGGTAGAAATTGATAAAAAGGAGGAAGATAGGAAGAAAAAGAATTAAAAAATAAGAAGAGAAAATTATAAAAAGAAAAATGAATTGTAAAAAAAAAGAAAAGTCTATAAAAACAAATAAAGATCTGTAAAAAGAAAGAAAGACTTGTAAAATGGGGAAGATGTATCTAAATAAAGAAAAAAGAAAATTTATTAAAAGTGAAGAAAAATCTGTAAAAAATATAGAAAGAAGGATCATTTAAAAAACAAATAAGGAAGAAGATTTGAAAAACAGATAAAAAAAGAAGTTCTGAAATAAGATTCGAAAAATAAAGAAAAAAGAAAAAAAAGATAAAGATGTGAAAAAACAACGAAGCAAGAAGATTTGAAAAAAGGAGGGATCATTTGAAAAAACAAAGACTTTGATTAGAAAAACGAAGAAAAAGGAAGAAGATTTTTGTAAAAACGAAGGAGAAAGATGCGAAAAACAGAAGGAAAAAGATTTGAAAAATAAAGAAGGAAAATGATTTGAAAAATAAAAACAGAATAAAGTTTGTCAAAGAAAGAATGAAGATTTGAAAAATGAAATAAGGAAAGAAGAAAGAAAATCTGTAAAAATAATAGCTGGTCAAGACCAGTCTAAGCCAATTAGAAACCTTGGTTGATTTTACAATTCAACTCTTGTTGGTTTATTTAATGTTGAATTTTGTATGGATCATCCACTGAGGTTCTATGACGCTTCTTACTCATAATGTTCACAGAGAAAAGCTTCGCTATTACCCACACACCGAGGTCTCTACTAAATGGATTCCTCAAAGTTGTGTTGATATTGATTAATTTTTCTCCCAATGCTACTATAGCGAGTTTGATCCTCACGCGGTGTCCCACACTCATGGCTTTATACTAGTGTAGGCCTCGATGTAGAGTAGTGGTTAGCGAGCCTGTCACCCAGATTACTGCTGAATATATTTTAATCCTAACTGGATGCCAAATATTTGTGGGCTTCTGTCGTATTAATATAATCTGAGTAAAGAGTGAAGGAGCTATAGAAAGAGAAATAAAGAGAGGGGAGATTTGTGAAAGAAAGAAAGAAAGGAGAAAGGAAATTATAATTTGTTTCATGACAATGGAGAAGACAAGAAGAAAGAGAAATATTGAGAGGAGAGATTTGTGAAAGAAAGAAAGGAGAGAAGAGAAGAGAAGAGAAGAGAAGAAAGAAAGAAAGAATAGAAATTATAATTTGTTTTAAGACATTGGAGAGGACGAGAAGAAAGAAAAATATAGAAAGGAGAGAAGAAAGAAAGAAGAGAAGAGAAGAGAAGAGAAGAGAAGAAAGAAAGAAAAAAATTATAATTTGTTTCATGATAGTGGAAAGGACGAGAAGAAAGAAAAATATGAAGATTCAAAGAGACAGGAAAGGAGTGTAAAGAAGATAGAGAAATACTAAAAAGAAAGCGGGAAAGTGACCGAAGTATTTGAGATAGATAGAGATGGGGAGAAAAGGGGGAAAAAGTTAAAAAGAACGCGGAGAGACAGAGAGACAGGCAGACAGACAGCGAGAAAGAGAAGAAATCCGTGGTCAGAACATAATATAAACGCAGTGGAGTAGGAATGCACATGCGCAAAGTTATTGTCTCCCTTCCGTTTCCGGCGAAAACATCTGCGCCAGCACAGGTGACGTTGCCCTGTTTCAACAAGGCAAATAAAATATCGAATAAAATAAACATTCAATCAATTTGACATTAAAAAAAACTAAGAAAATAAACTGTCTCCATTATGGCGAAACTGTTTATCAAATCTCAGAAGTCAAGGACTCCTCCTTCGCGCGTGTGTGTGTGAGTGTTGTTGTTGTAGTGGTGGCTGTTATTATTATTATTATCAAAAATATCTTTTAAACACGAGGAAACCACGGTGTTCGTCACGGCGAGCAAAGTAACAATTTTCAATTTTTTTTAATATTACCACCATCCTAATCATCATCATTGCCACTATCAACAACAATAAATGTGTTGATGCTGTTGAATTCAATCCTAACATACAAAGATCAACATAAGATTGGGTCTAATCATAGGAAGATAAATATATTTTCCAGAATGATGTATGGCCATCACTCTGAACCAGTCATAGAAGGTTACTACTCTTTGGCGACTTTAACATTCATAATGACAGACATATAAAAAAACCCAATAAACCAGACATAGTGTTTAAAGCGAAAACAATGCCTTCTCATCAATAGTAAATGCAATCAGATAAAAATATATCTGTTAAAAAATATAACAAAATGAGTAAATATAAGAAAACTGAGCTTGAAAAAGAATGACACCTTAAAACTACGGTTATTCATGATTGGAGCCCTGAATACGATCAAAGAAGGTATAACAATGAACATTAACAAAATCCCTAGCAGCCCCAGTTTATAAGAGATTACAAAAAATATAATGTGTGGAAATGGTCATCTACTTCGGAGAGAAGAAAAATATATACGTAAAAAAATATCATCATGTTAAGTATCACTTAACATTAGCGCCTGCGCAGTGCATATATTTACGACGTTGCCTTACACCTTTTCGTGTCGTGGCTATCCCGTGAGGTTGAGGATGATGGTCTTGCTATGTTTGTCTCAGTCAATTGGGTTTGTGAATATTGAGATGGATAATGAGACCGATTTTTGCTTGAAGGTTCCTTCGACAGTGAGGATAGTTTGTTCCGGATGGTGGATTAGAACTTGGTTGCTGTCTTTCTTTTCGACGTTTTCTTTCTTTTTCTTTTCTGAACTAGGGCTGATCGTTTGTTTTTCGAAGATTGTTGTTCCATCTCTGACAATGGATCTCTAGAGATCTCCGTCCATTGCACTCGATTCTCAGCTGTTGATGTCCATGTTACATTTCTTCAGGTTTTGTTTCAGAACGTCCTTGAATCTTTTATTTTGACCTCTTCTTTTCCGATTTCCTTCTTTGAATTGGGAGTTAAAGACTTGCTTTGGCAGGCGGGTGGCATCCATTCGTACCAGTCAAAGTTGATTTTTTATAACGATGGTTTCAGTGTTGGTCATTTTAACTTGTTCCGGTACGCCGACCTTAGTTCATCTGTCTTTCCAGGTGATGTTTAAGATACTTCGAAGACGACGCCGGTGAAAGTTTTCAAGGACTTTCAGATGTCGTCGATAAGTTGTCCAGGTCTCAGAGGCATACAAAAGAATTGGTGTCACTACTGCCTTGTACACTTTCGGTGACTGTTCTGATGTTAAGAACTTGGAAAACCCTATTTCGAAGGTGACCAAAAAGCTGAACCTGCACATCCATTTTGAATGTGTTATTTAGGAATAAGTGTTCAAACTCAAGTGTCGCTGCCGACACTTGAGTTTGAACATAGATCGCCACTGAGCAAACACAGGTGATCCCATTATTGAATTAAGTAGACCACGTGATCATAGAGGAAACGCATATATAGGAAGTCATGTGACGTCTAGGTTGATCACTTTTTCTAATATATTCTCTATTACTATACAGACCGCTATTCTCTACTCTATTCACTATACTATTTTTATCACTATACGGATTACTATTCGAGCGAGGATTATCGAGCAAGTACTATTAGCGCGAGTGTTATTCGAAGGCATCAGTATTGTTCAACGGTGTATTATAGTTGCATCTGCGATTACAAAGACTTTACTACAACGAGCTTTACGAAACTGGCAACTAGTATTCATTGAAATCACAAAAGTGGCAACGAGTGTTCGTTGATATCACAAAAGAAAGTCAATGCTAGATGTTTCGGGTAATGAGTCTGTAAATGGTGACACTGAACAGAAAGTAAAAGAAGTCAATAATTAAATTATTATTGTTTATAGGGTGCGCATATTTCAGTAATTCAAGCAACACCGCATTCCGCGCGTTTTCAGTCGCCATATTGAAAGATTAGCGATTGTTTTCACATCACCTTGTGTAACTGTTCCCAGTTCTCTCGAAATATATGATCGGAATTTGAGTTTCGTGTTACTGTCGTCGTTTAGCGAGCGAGCTTGAAGGCTTGATCGTGTGATGCCTGAAGGGAGAGTCGGAAGAGTTACGTGTCTATGAGCACAAAAAAGAACGGACCAACAAAACTATTTACAAGCCAACTGTAATTGAATTCTGGACAGTTTCCTCCCAAACAAAAAACTATCAGAAATGGGACTGAACCGACGAATGCCATGGAGAAAGCATGTGAGAAATGAGAAAGTTTAAATAATAGGTACTGCATAGAAATTGCTGCTAATTACCAGGAAAAGTAGCTTACATTTTTGGATACATAATGAGAAAAGAAGAATTTAACTGACACTGAAAGTAATGGAAAATAGCAAATAACCTATTTGACGATTTCAATGAATGGAAGGCTGATAAAAAAATCTACAAAGAGGAAGAACACCGCTTATGTCTTGAAAGGACATATAGCACATAGAGAAAGACATGTTCAACAGATTCGGATTGTTGAAAGCGGCATTGGCGAGCAGAAATCAAATTGCGGACGAAGCTGTTCCGTTTCACTTAGCAAAAATCATAAAAACACAACAATTACACGCTAAGAGATTCTGCCCGTAGTATACGGAGCATTATTAAAAGAAAACATCAGCGATGAACAACTTTTTTGATTTTATATCTCAAGTAATTAATAATTTGTATTATATATATATATATATATATATATATATATATATATATATATATATATATTACATACTGTTATATAAACGTACATATGAATACTAATGGGTATGTCCCAATCCTCATAAATACGTTAGACACTATTGTAAGGGGTGGGTAATATGCTATCAAAGTAGTTCACCACTAGGCAGTGGATTACCTACTTCACGCTGCTGGCGAGTGTTGTATTTTGTTGATTTTATAAAAGATTACCATTTCATTTCCAACATCCGTTTTGGTTATTCCTCATTCTGTAACCTTTTCTAGGTTACAACACATATAATAGGAATTAAAATTACCTCATAGTTATGATCATTTCACCTTATAGATTGAAATTATATATATATATATATATATTGTTGAGATGTTGAGTGTTTCCCCGTGCGTGTATTGAAATAAGGACAAACACATACGTAGGGAAAAATACTGGTATATCTGAAGAGGTATTTACAACAGAGAGATTAGTAGTCAAACGAACGCAGGTTAGTCAGTAACATTCAGAAAGAGTATAAAGTCCAACTGTATCTTCCGGTAGAGAGACGGAAGTGTGATGGTCACCTGATCTCCCAGAACTCTATAGAACTGTCCTATTAGTAGTAGAGAGATCAGTGCATTCTGATGAGAAGGTGGGTGGCCCCAACATATATATATATATATATTATATCTATATATCTCTCTCTCTCTATATATATATATATATCTCTATATATATATCTCAATATATATATATACATGTAATTTTTATATATATTATTTACATATTATACATGTGTCGTACTTCTTGGAAAGCGCTCAATATGATATATATATATATATATTATCTCTATCTATAAAATGTAGGATGTGTGTGTAACGAATGCACGGCCGCAATTTTCGACGGATTTGCAACAAAATTTACATGCACATGCTCCAAGTTAGCGGAAAGCCAAGACCGACTTGGCATTTCCCAACTCCCATTGATAATGGTTTTTCCAGTAACGAGTCCTTCTTTAAAGCTGATTGTTTTGTGTTCATTTTGTTTAGTTCTTTTTTCGTAACAGATTTAATGTTTAGTATAGAGCTTACAAAAAATCGCAGTGTGAGATAGGCAAGAAGTAAGGCATGTAACAACATCGGCACGGCAAAAGGCACTCCTTTAAAGGCAAGGAAGGGCAAACATATTTTAAGTCAAGTGATAGCGATTGCCTTATGAGTCGTACGATTTTTGAATCAAGCACGGGCAACGCCGGGCCATGCTGCTAGTATATATATATATATATATATATATATATATATATATATATATATAATAGAACAAATGCATGAGAAAACTCCTTGGCATTTTCGATTGGGAACATAAAATCAATGAGTTTGGGCGGAAAAAGTTGAAAGTTTTGTGGGCTACAAGGAATCTCTTCTCTCCACTGTCAAATGGAGAAAAAATGGCGTAGTTTGGACATGTTACAAGGCAGACAGCCTTTGCAAGGCCATCATGCAAAGCACCGTTTAAAGACCGTTGTGGAGGAGATTCAATAGGGCTTCTACATTCAGACACTCCTACGATTAAAAGTCAAGTGGATGATGATATTCATATATATATATATAGAGAGAGAGAGAGATGTGTATATATATATATATATATATATACACAAAACATCTCTCTCTCAATATATATATATATATATATATATATATATATATATATATACATGTAATTTTTATATATTATTTACATATTATATATGCGCGGTACTTCTTGGAAAGTGCTCAATATCAGTGATAGAGCTAACATATTTAGTTGATTGAATGTAAGTTTGTGACCTTGGATTTCACTCCCTTACAATCGTCAGACAAACTGACGATTGCAAGGACGTGAAACTCAGGGTCACAAAATTCACGTTAATCCAACTATATATATATATATATATATATATATATATATATATATATATATAAAT